CTCCTCTCCATTGTGTAAATGTACCACATTTTCGTTATCAGTTGAAGGACACTTAGGTTGCTTCCATTTCTTATGTATTGTGAAAAGAGAGGCAACAAACATGGACATACAAGTGTCTCTGCAGTAGGATGAGTTCTTTGGGTTTATGCCAAGGAGTGGCATAACTGGGTCAAATTATAGGTTCATTTGTAGTTTTTAAGATTTCTCTACAGTGCATTCCATAGGATTTGAAAAAGTTTTCAGCCCCACCAGCAGTGGATGAGTGTTCCCCTTTCCCCACATCCTCTCCAACATTTGGTATCATTTGTTCTCTTAATCTTAGCCAGTTTTACTGGGGTAAGATGAAATCTTAAAGTGGTTTTAATTTGTGTTTCCCTAATTATTAGTGATGTTGCACATCTTTTAAGATCCTTCATAGCCGTCTTTACTTCTTCTTTGGAAAACTCCCTGTTCAGCTCCTTAGCCCATCTTTTAATTGGGTTGCTTCTTGTCCTGATTCTGTTTTTTGAGTTCGTTAAACCTCTGTTGGATGTGTCGCTGGTGAAGATTTTCTCCCATTCTGTGGATTTTCTCTTCACTTCCCTGGTTGTCTCCTTTAATGTACAGAAACTTTTTAGTTTAATGAAGTCCCATTTGTTAATTCTTGCCCTTGTTTCCTGAGCAATTGATATCTGCTTTAGAAAATCCTTTACTACACCTATATCTTGTGGGTTTTTCCCAATGTTTTCTTCCAAGAGTTTCAGAGTTACAGGCTTTACATTGAGGTCTTTGATCCATTTGGAATTGGCTTTTGTGCAGGGTGAAAAATAGGGGTTTAGTTTCATTCCTCTAAAGGTGGAGATCCAGTTTTGCCAGCACCATTTGCTGAACATGCTGTCTTTCCTCCAGTGAATATTCTTGGCCCTTTTGTCAAACATCAGGTGGCTGAAATTGCATTTACTCATATTTTGGGTCTTAAATTTTGTTCCAGTGATCTATGGGTCTATTTTTGTGTCAGTACCATGTTGTTTTTATGACTATACCTCTGTAATACAACTTAAAATCTGGTCTTGTAATCCCTCCGGCATTGCTCTTAGTGCTCAGGGTTGATTTGGCTACCTGAGGTCTTTTGTGCTTCCATATGAATCTTAGGGTGGTTTTCTCCAATTCTGTGAAAAAATGTCATTGAATCTATAAATGACTTTTGGTAGGATGGTCATTTTCACAATATTAATTCTTCCAATCCATGAGCATTGGAGGTCCTTCCATCTTCTGATGCCTTTCTCAATCTCTTTCTTTAAAGATTTAAAATTTTCATTGTAGAGCTCTTTAATGTCTTTGGTCAGGTTTATTACAAGATATTTTATTTTTTTCGCAGCTATTGTGAAGGTTAGTGTTTCCATGTGCTCCTTCTCTGATTGCTTGTTATTGGTATATAGGAATGCTGCAGACTTTTGTAGGTTAATTTTGTAACCTGCCACTTTACTGAATGTGTTAATAATTTCTAGGAGTTTTCTGGTGGAATTTTGGTGTCTGTTAGATATAATATATCATCTGCAAAAATGGAAAATTTGATCTCTTCTTTTCCAGTTATTACTCCTTTAATATCCTGATTGCTCTTGCAAGAGTTTCAAGCGCTGTGTTGAAGAGAAGTGGAGATAATGGACAGCCCTCTCTGGTTCCTGATGTTAGTGGGAATACTTCCAGTTTTTCTCCATTTATAATGATGTTGGCTATAGGTGAAACATGTTGGCTGTGGGTTTGTTATATATGGCTTTAATTATGTTGAGGTATGTTCCCTCCAGTCCAGTTCTCTCTAGGACTTTGAACATAAATGCATGTTGCATTTTGTCAAAAGCCTTCTCTCCATCTGTTGAGATGACCATGTGGTTCTTGTCTTTGAACCCATTTATATGATTTATGATGTTTATCAACTTACATATACTGAACCATCCTTGCATCTCTGGGATAAAGCCAACTTGATCATGATGGATAATCTTTTTGCTGTGTGTCTGTATGTGGTTTGCAATTATGTTGTTGAGAATTTTTGCATCTATGTTCATTAAGAGTGATGCTGGCTTCATAGAAGGAATTTGGG